TGAATTACGTCTTCTGTTGACTGTTTTGCAGGCCCAGTTTTACATTTTTGACAAGATTAAGACAGAAGGAGGGTTCCAGAGAATAGAGGAAGTCCACCTTAGGTCAGAGGTCATGGTCCCGAGAAGCATGATTGGAAGAATTATTGGGAAAGGAGGACAAAATGTAAGCATTATATAACTAACAAATCGGAACAAACAAAGCCATTTATTTAAAAGTACATTTAGTTGAATTCAGCGGTGCACTAAATTTTTCCTCTTTATTCCATGACAATGCAGACTGCTTGGGTAGGAGTTCTTCTTAATTGCTATGTTTATCAACTTTGATTTGTGAAAATTTTTATTTTTTTTTTTTTTTTGAGTTGTAGAGAATTAAACCCCATGTATATGCTGTTGGGTTACATATAGCGAAGAAAATTTTACATTAAAACTGTATGGTCCATTAGTGTACACATTCATGTATTTTTCCCCATGAAAATAGGCCTCTATCTTGTGTTCAAATGATGAAAAAATGTCCTTTCCACTTATCGTATATTTTGTTCTTTAGTTGTATTAGTTAAAGAAGTGATTCTTGATTACAAACAAAAATATTATTCTATTGTAAATGTATTTTATTTTGCTGTGTATTCTATTTGGTAGAAAATTATTTTTCAACAAGTAAGCATAGATTTGATTTGGCGCTTTTTAAATGTGCTTTAAAACATGAATGTTTAAAACATTTCATGATGTACTTGAAGAAGTGGAGGCTGCTCTTCACAAGTCACTAAATAGAATACACAGCCAAATGTAAAACGTTTACAGTATTTCTTTTTGTTCTTATTGATTGGTTTTCAAATTTCTAAATTTCTTAAATTACTCCTAAAGACAGGATTTGATATTGCAAGTCTAAAAGCTGTTGGGAATGTTAAAAAGAATTTTCCATTATGCATTTCATCCAAAATTGTGTAAAGGACAACATTTAACATTTTGAGACTAACTAGTAGATTGTAGCAATCTTGCCTGGTTTTAATCTCCATATTTATCGTGATTTTCTTTCTTAACTAGGTTCGGGAAATGCAGCGAGTAAGTGGTGCAATAGTTAAAGTTCCTGACCAGAATTCCCAGAGCCACCAGGACGGAGACTTGGAGGTGGCAGTCTCTATAATCGGACATTTCTATGCTATGCAGCCCGCCATTAGAAGAATCAGGTCACTGGTCAATCCCCGCCCCCCACAGGGACCAGGACTCATGCCCGGCCAACAGAGGCGATTACAGCCGAGACCCCAGCACAACGGGAAGTAAGGCTGGAGTTGGTTGTGTGTTCAGGGATGGGAAGAGGGGTACGGTTCAATTATAAGGTGTTCAACATTGAAGATGAATGCTTTGTTTTATGATGTAGGAAAGTATGATGGATTGGTTTTGAATTCATCACCCAAGAGATATTTTCGACATTTCCAAGTTGCCAAAGAATTTTTAGTTTGAGTTTGAAAATTAATTACTGGCAATAATTTCAAGTTTTAAAAAAGTAAAGGAAAAATGGGGGCTTTTTTGGGGGGATGGGGTAGGAAATCTAATTTTTTTATGTACAACATATTTTTACAAAGGGCATTACATGTAAGTATAATTTTTGAGATTTAATGCATAAAGTGCTAAATGTGAAAGGATTGGTGACATCTGTGGGTTGGAGGTACGTTTTTAATGGTTGGGTAGGATGGCTTGCCTTTTGTTGCATGCCGGGGGTAGGAACAAATGTTTATTAGGCCAGTATTGTTTTTTTTAGTATTGGCCATATTTTTTTTTTGTAATAAATTTATTTTTGATACTTGTTGACAGAATTTTTTGTTAGAATTTTTATGACCTGTTGAAGGACAAACTTTTTTTTATTGTCCATTATATTGAATAAAAAAAAGAATGAAAAAAGAATATCTTTATTTCCAACTAGACATTCTATTCAAACACTGCATACATGTACATTTATAATGTGCAACTTCAAACCAAACAGGTCTTAAAACTGACAAAGAATTGTATATCAAAGCACTACACACAGCACACTTGAAATGTCTAAAATACCGTACTACAAATTCAACTGTTACTACAGAAAGAATAGAATTCAGCTGATCTTGCCTTTGAAATTGTAATGGTTGATTTGTATGTAAATTAATTTATGAAATATGAATGTCATGTTTAAAATACAATGTAAAATTGACTTATTTTACAAACACGTGAGAAAATGGAAATCTTGATGGCATTCAGTGTATTGTAAATGTTGGAAAGGAGTTTTTATGATGAAAATGTACAAAAAAAAATTCCTGACAAATATTTCTATCGAAAAGGAATTTCTATGTACTATGCACTATTTACAAAACGAAAATGAAAATCATTATTTTCAAGGCTTTGAAAGAGTGTTATATACCCCATCTAACTTTGGATGGAACTGTAAAATATGGAAAAAAAGTCTTGTTGTTTGTTAAATAACCTTTGTAGTTTCAATTTATAATGTTATTCTGCAAGTTGCAAACAGTTAGTATTTCAATTAGTTGATTCATGGAGTTTGAAAACTTTTCCAATTTTTATGCTTCGGATGTTCATTTATTATTTTCAGTTCAGTAGAGTACTTGAAAGTTTTCACAAGGCTTTGGTACAATGGAAAAAGGTCAAGTCTTTGATCTCGTTAAAACAGGATGAATGAGAAAATATATAAAAGTACAGTCAAATTTCATTGTCTCAAACTTGATAGGCTAAGAAAAGAGCTGCCATATTTCCATGAATTTTTAGATACTGAGATTAAAATACATAAAATGGTTGCGACTTCCAACTCCAACTAAAAGAACCATAAATTAATTGATCTATGTTTGAGATGAAGTTTAATTGTATCAAGAGAAATATATATATATTATATATATAAGTTTAAAGAAAAAAATACTACCTCAGAATGCTTAAAGGGTTGTTATGTCAAAGACTTGATCTTTAAAAAGTCTTGATTAATTTTTGAACAGTAAATTAAAAAAAAAAAGTCTTTATATCATGCATTGTCTGTATCTTACATTTATAGATGTTTAAAATATGATGATGATACTTTTTCATGAAATGAAACTTGGTTTCTCTTCAACATGTATGACCGATATATCTATAAATAGTCTTTGATGAGCTGAGTATTCTTAGATACTCGGAATACCTCTGACTTTTTTCTATCACAGTATCTCCCCGTAGCTTATGTACAGGATCTTGTATTATTAGTGTATTGCCTTGTCTTCATAGCAGTAAATGCAAACACAATCACACTGACCTTTTAAAGTTTTACGTACTTAAAGAAATGGTTTCAATATCTTTTTAAGGCACTGATCTGTGCAAGGCATGGTTGCTACGAAGACATGACCCCTGGCGTTAGCAATACTTAAGTGTTTTCCCCATTTTGAATATTTTGATTGTTTCCTTGTATTAACAAACCATTACTGTGTACAGATTTTATTGTGTTAGGGACGACCACAAGAACAGCAGAAATTCACCAAAGCTCTGTCAGATGATAATATCTAACTATGAAAAGGGGAGGCTTGGATCAAAATGGACTCTTAAAAACAACTGATTTAATTGAAAATCCAAGCCTGCCCTCTGGTCTCAATAGAGAATTAATTGCTAAATGTGGCTACATAGAGAAACATGATTTTGTCTTAAACACAATTCACTGTGTATTAATGAAAATGAATGTTTGAACATTGTTTATAACATCACAGAGATCTGGAAATCGTAGTTAAGACCAATTTTTCAGTAAGTTGTGTCCCTACTCTTGAGCCACTTTTGTATCCATACAGACCCAGCAGTTTCTGTAAGCCGACTGTGCATTCTGTATATGATGTGTTCTATTGTTTATGTTTTATAACAATACAGTTGCCAGCTCTCGTGTTCTCAAAGGATGTTACAGTCAGCCAGTTCGCAATATTGTCTCCCATTTCTTACGGAAATAAAATTATTCTAGTTCATTGAATCATGGTGTATGTTTTTTTTTCATATTGACAAAGTTTGCCAGTTGAACATTAGTAGTAGATGTCTTTGTGAAGCACATATGACAGATGCCCCTGTATGGCAACTAATGACAAAGCTTTGTTTCCGATATGCAAGTGAAACTGGAACTTGATGTTTGTCATTTAATGTCCCCCTTGAGAATCGCTCGTAGTGCACCATCACTTGTCGGTGTAGAGCTGTAAATTTTGTCCTTAACTAGACAGTCGGGGATCTCTTTCATGCCAGCACTTACTATGACGGACCTCTGTTTATATATGGTCTCCTTCGGAGGACAATCTCCACTTCCTCCAGTGGGATTTGAACCGACAATGTACGAATCAACTCATATCACGACTCTAAAGCAGATGCTCTAACCACTGGGCGATGGGTTCGACAAACAAATGTATAGAAAAATAATCATGGGAACTTAAAAACTAATATAAGGAATGAAATAATTAGGTTTTGTAGACATCACAGCATGACTAAAACCATTAGTAAGTTGTGTCTTTTAAAACTTTAATATCAATGGATCAACCATCGTCGCAAACCACGGCCAAAATGTACGATCCTCTCCCATTCTGGCCGAGAGCTATATGCGGACTCCGGACCGTGGCTTAAGACGATGTGGATCAACTGAGATTAAGTTTTGTATATATCATTTAAATGAATGAGGAAAAAATCAACTGACAGTAAATTTTATATCATTTAAATGAAGAAAGAAAAAAACAACTGACAGTAAATTTTATATCATTTAAATGAATTAGGAAAAAATGTCTTGTAGTTACTGCTAAGATGCACTATAATTTTTTTTCACACACAATCACTATTAATTGGCACTAATATGTGATATTCCTCTACAGCTATCATGTTTCAGATTTCCATCTTGGGTATTTTGAAAATGAAGGATTTCTTCCAGTCTATTGGTATTGGACTTTTGCGAAGACACTGACTTTTACAGTTGACGGCTTACTTGGATATTTAAACCTGCGTCATGTACGGAGGTATGGAATTGAAAATAGAATGGAAAATAAATAAGAAAACATCCATTGAGGTGAAAGTTATTGTATTCGAGGCTTTGAAATAATTTATCAAACAAAAAATAAAATTGGTGGTAGGATAAAATTCATTTAGATATTTTATTCACGAGAATCAATATGTATATCCTTTTATTTTCAATAACTTGAGAAATTAAATAAAGAAGAAGACACATTTCGGTAGGAAAATTCTGCAGGAGATAGTCAAGACTGGAATGAAGGATGCTGAGAATAGGAATGTTACCGTTTCCTTCCTAGACAACATGATATGATCTTATTATCTTTTTGTCAAAAGTTAAGATCAATATATTTTCCACAAAAGAGCTCCCGTATATTTTCCAGGGGTAAAAATAAGCCGTCGATTGTAAAAGTCAGTGTCTTCGCAAAAGTCCATTTCCTGCTCGCTGAAAACTGTTGAGCATGATCTGAGAGAAGATAAAGTAAATTAAAGAATGAAAAGTTAATAAAAAGAATAAAAAGTAAATTAACAGTATGAAAACAAAACAGATTGTAAAGTGAATTAACAGAACGTAAGGTAAGAAAGAGTGTTAAGTAAATAAAGAGTGTTAATGGTCAGTGTTACGTAAATAGAGTGTAGAGTAACACTAGTCAGTGTTAAGTAAAATAGATTGTTAAGTAAATAGTCAGAGTGATAAGTAAATAGTTGAAGTGTTACGTGAAATAGTCAGAGTGTTAATAGTCAAAGTGTTAACTAAATAATCAGTGTCAGTAAATAGTCAGTGTTGAGTAAATAGTCAGAGTGTTAATGGTCATAGTGTTGAGAAAAAAGAGAGTTAATAGTCAGTGTTAAGTAAATAGTCGGAGTGATAAGTAAATTGTCAGAGTGTTAAGTAAATAGTCAGTGTTAAGAAAATATTCAGTGTCAGTAAATAGTCAGCGTGTTAAGTAAATAGTCAGAGTGTTAATAGTCAGAGTGTTAAGTAAATAGTCAGTGTCAGTAAATAGTCAGTGTTTAGTAAATAGTCAGTGTTAAGTAAATAGTCAGTGTCAGTAAATAGTCAGTGTTTTGTAAATAGACAGTGTTAAGTAAATAGTCAGAGAGTTAATGGTCAGTGTTGAGTAAATAGTCAGTGTTAAGTGAATAATCAGAGTGTTAATAGTCAGTGTTACGTAAAACGTCAGTGTTTTAGTAAATAGTCAGAGTGTTAATAGTCAGAGTGTTAAGTAAATAGTCAGTGTTAAGTAAATAGTCAGTGTGTTAATAGTCAATGTTAAGTATATATTCAGTGTCAGTAAATAGTCAGTGTTTAGTAAATAGTCAGTGTTAAGTAAATAGTCAGTGTCAGTAAATAGTATACACTTATCCACTGGTTGTGAGTGGGATAGCTCTTTTATCAAACTCGGGGAACTATTCCCCGAGGGCTTGCCCGAGGGGAATAGTCCCTGTCAAGGGTTTGAAAAACGAGCTATCCCACTCAAAGCCAGTGGATAAGCATTTTATTATACTGTGATGTATAATATAATTTCTGAGGTTTGAATTTTTGGGGAGTAAGATAAAATGCAAGAATAATTTGAAATCTTGATGACGTCACAATGCTACTGAAGTCATTATGACATCATCAGTCAATAGATTTATCTGGAAATTTAAATTAGCGGCAAAAATTGCATGAAATTTTCCGAGGGTTGATAGCAAAAACTATAACCCGGGGTATAGCTTTGCTATGCGTGAACTATAAAAGATAGCTATTTTACCTTCCGAACTTTATATAGGAAACATTCTAACAGAAGTATAATAATCAGTGTTAAATAGTCAGTGTAAGTAAATAGTATGTGTCAGAAAATATTGTCAACGTCAGTAAATAGTCAATGTTTTGTAAATAGTCAATGTTTTGTAAATAGTCAGTGTTAAGTAAATAGTCACAGTGTTAATAGTCAGAGTGTTGAGTAAATAGTCAGAGTGTTAAGTGAATAGTCAGAGTGTTAATAGTCAGAGTGTTGAGTAAATAGTCAGTGTTTAGTTAATAGTCAGAGTGTTAAGTAGATAGTCAGAGTGTTAAGTAACAAGAGGCCCATGGGCCACATCGCTCACCTGAGCACTAAGGGTAGGAAAAAGTAGAAAATGGCTTTTTATTGTAAAGTTTAAATCCAAAAGTAGTCCCATGACGAATCATGGATTTGCTATTTTTTAGAAAATGATTTTTAAAGAATTTTCCTATATACAGTGGACCTTCAGATATCCGGACGCCAGATATCCGGATGCTTCAGTATTCGGACGATTTTTCATCGGAACGAAATTTTTAAATGCTATTTTGTCTTGTTTAACTGGTGATTCAGATATCCGGATGCTTCACATATCCGGACAAATGGACTTGGAACCAAAGCGTCCGGATAAATGAGGGTCCCCTGTATATCTTTAAAAACTTTGGTCGGCCATTTTGGCCCCGCCCTACCCCTAGGGGTCATGATTTGAACAAATTTGAATCTACACTACCTGAGCATGCTTCCATATAAATATGATCAATTATGGCTTTGTCATCCTTGAGAAGAAGATTTTTAAAGAATTTTCCTATATATTTCTATGTAAAACTTTGGTCGGCCATTTTGGCCCCATCCTACCCCCGGGGGTCATGATTTGAACAAACTTGAATCTACACTACCTGAACATGCTTCCATATAAATATGATGAATTATGGCTTTGTCATTCTTGAGAAGAAGATTTTTAAAGAATTTTCCTATATATTTCTATGTAAAACTTTGATACCCCATTGTGGCCCCGCCCTTCCCCCGGGGGTCATGATTTGAACAAACTTGAATCTACACTACCTGAACATGCTTCCATATAAATATGATGAATTACGGCTTTGTCATTCTTGAGAAGAAGATTTTTAAAGAATTTTCCTATATATTTCTATGTAAAACTTTGGTCGGCCATTTTGGCCCGCCCTACCCCAGGGGGTCATGATTTGAACAAATTTGAATCTACACTACCTGAACATGCTTCCATATAAATATGATGAATTATGGCTTTGCCATTCTTGAGAAGAAGATTTTTAAAGAATTTTCCTATATATTTCTATGTAAAAGTTTGGTCGGCCATTTTGGCCTCGCCCTACCCCCGGGGGTCATGATTTGAACAAACTTGAATCCACACTACCTGAGGATGTTTCCCCATAAGTTTCATCTTTCCTGGCACAGTGGTTCTTGAGAAGAAGATTTTTAAAATATGCCACTGAATTTTCATTAATTCCCAATTATCTCCCCTTTAATGAGGGTGTGGCCCTTCATTTGAACAAACTTGAATCCCCTTCACCCAAGGATACTTTGTGGCAAGTTTGGTTGAAATTGGCCCAGCGGTTCTTGAGAAGAAGTCGAAAATGTGAAAAGTTTACAGACAGACAGACGGACAGACAGACGGACAGACAGACGGACAGACGGACGCCAGACAAAATGTGATCAGAAAAGCTCACTTGAGCCTTCGGCTCAGGTGAGCTAAAAAGTCAGTGTTTAGTAATAGTCAGTGTTAAGTAAAAAGAGTGTTAATAGTCAGAGTGTTAAGTAAATAGTCAGTGTCAGTAAAATAGTCAGTGTTTTGTAAATAGTCAGTGTTAAATAAATAGTCACAGTGTTAATGGTCCGGGTGTTGAGTAAATAGTCAGTGTCAGTAAATATTCAGTGTTAAATAAATAGTCAGTGTTAATGGTCAGAGTGTTGAGTAAATAGTCAGAGTGTTAAGTAAATAGTCAGTGTAAGTTAATAGTCAGGATGTTAAGTAAATAGTCAGTGTTTAGTTAATAGTCAGAGTGTTGAGTAAATAGATGGAGTAATATAAAGCAAATAGTCAGAGTGTTAAGTAAAAAGTCAGAGTGTTAAGTAAATAGTCAGTGTTTAGTAAATAGTCAGAGTGTTAATAGTCAGAGTGTTAAGTAAATAGTCAGTGTCAGTATATAGTCAGTGTTTTGTAATAGTCAGCGTTAAGTAAATAGTCAGAGTTTTAAGTAAATAGACAGCGTTATAAGTCAGAGTGTTAATTGTCTGAGTGTTAAGTAAAATAATCAGAGTGTTAATAGTCAGAGTGTTTATATTAAGTAGACAGAGTGTTACGTAAATTGAAAGAGTATTAATAGTCAGAGAGTTTATAAGGGTATAGGATTTTTGCGAGGATGGCAGACATAATAACAATGGCTTTAATTTACAATTTACAGAAGACATCAAGACTGGAATGCAACAAAATTCTGGTCAAAAATCATTTGTCATGCAGACTTAATTCATTACATGTAGGTCACTAAACCAAGTCTTGACAATCAATCCTACCAAATTCCTGCGACGGAGTGGAAACGTTCTGGAGTTCACAAAAAATCTCACAATCAGTCGTAGACGTAAGATTGTCGTAAGATTTTTTTGTAAAATTTTCGTAAGTTTGACGTAACGTCAAAAAACAGTCGTAAGTTTACGTCTAGTCTAGGGTTGTCGTAAGTATATAAATTCTATATACTAGTATATATTCAACATATGATTAGATAACCTACATGTAAACTCTGTTGGTCTTCTGCCCCCAAAGTCTAATATTTGGGAGCATACAGTTTCTGCTCTTAGCTGCATGGAATTTCATTTTTCCACAACTTAATTTCATGTGACATAGCCTTTATTTGGGTACCAACCTTGACCTTAACTTTTGAATGCTTGGTGCTAGGGCTATCATATATTTATCATTCAAAACTGTACTTCTATATGAAATAATTAACAAAATTGTTAAAGTTTTAAAACTGTTTATTAGGTAAGGAGACATAAGAAAATCTCTGTTTTCACTTGTAAGCATTGGCCTTGTGTTTAGGGAGGAAAGAGAAACCATCAGGAACAGGTCCTAGCAGCATTTCACTGTAGAAGAACAAAATTCTGTGTTAACATCTTTTCAGACAATTTAGATGAGAATACAGGAACATTTTCATCAAGGTCTTATGTACAGTGGACCCTCATTTATCCGGACGCTTTGGTTCCCAGTCAATTTGTCCGGATATATGAAGCGTCCGGATATCTGAATTACCAGTTAAACAAGACAAAATAGAATTTAAAAATTCCGTTCCAATGAAAAGTCGTCCGGATACTGAAGCATCCGGATATCTGGCGTCCGGATATCTGAAGGTCCACTGTATATTAATAACCTTTTTTCAATTTTGATTCGAAGGTATTTACACTTTTGATTGCTAGCTTTATAAATACATGCAAGGATGCCTTTTACTCTTTCTTAAGAAAATAAAAAAGCCAAAACATGAGGCCTAAAATAATTTGTTTGTTTGCAATTGCCTCACTGCCTCACTGAAAGTGCACCTAATCCAAACTTTTTTCAGTCACTTTGTTATATATATATTTTTTTTTTTCTTCAGGATATTTCATTTTTAATTTTTGTTTTTATCAGTCAGTGGTTTATAACAAGAGTGGAGCTTATTCTTGTATAGAAGGCTAAGGAAAAGCTCTATTATTTGTTATCTAACAAAAATCTAAAAGAATGCCTACCTACTAACCCACTCAAAAACTATAGGTTGGCAATTGCAAACACAGAATTTTTAAGCTTGGCCTTACACATCTAGAATTAGAACAGAATTTTACCTGAGTTTGACCCAGTCCCCACAGTTTGGACTAGCCATAAGAGTCTCAAGGTCATTGCGACCTACATAATATGGGGGTCGTTCATTGATCCTCTGGGGCACCTGTTCTAGAAGGCCCACAGGTATATACCTGAAATCCAAAAATGTTACATCAATGTCTAATAAATAACTTTCAGTGCATTTACAGATAAATAATTTACACAGACAAATAATTTACAAGGATATTTTATTCCAGTGTTTACTTGAATAATAATGAAGTTTGTAAGCAAACTTGCAGGAAAAGGGGAAATCTGTCATTTGAAAGTTGGGAGGCCATAATAGGAATGCATCTGTACAGATCCCCTATATATTTGATAGAAGTCACAATACACTATAAAGTCTACATAAATTTAGTTTTCAAGTTCTCATGCCAATTTTTTCCACAACAGATGCGGGCAGGGGGCTTTTTATATATCATTGTATTGGCGATAAATTTGGTAAGGTATTTTTTAAAAATGTTCAATACCCAAATTTTCTATATAATTATGATAAAAGTTCTTTGTTCAAGATATAATTTCCATACTTTCCAGGTCTGCATTATCCATTGCTTATCACCGGTTGAACATAGTAGGCATTAATATCTTCAAATGTAAAAACGAAGTAGCCATGTTCTCTTTGAAAAAGGCTTCTGGAAGTTATTGTCATACTAAACTATGAAAAAATTAGGGCAGATTTTTTCATTGGTCTTTATCAAAAATACGATAAAATTTAAAATGCGGCTACATCAAAATGGATGTGCGCGGGTCTGAGAACTAGAATTTCAATTTTAAGTAGCCAGAGTACTTTTTCTTTTTCTGAAAGTTTTAAATTTTGTGTCAGAATAGACAGGGTAAAAAAAAAAAAACTATGGAAGTTAGGAAAATGGGACAGAAATTTTACGTTGGAATATACAGTGTGACGGATTGCACAGGTGTCGGATTAGACAGTTTCGACTGTATAATCCAGGACAAAGAAAAGGTAAGATTGTTTACCTGTACAGATGTATTATCCAGGACAAAGAAAAGGTAAGATTGTTTACCTGTACAGATGTATTATCCAGGACAAAGAAAGGTGAGATTTTTTACCTGTACAGAAAGGAGACCCACTCCAGTAGGAACCGCCTGGTGGTCTCCACCCCCTGGGTGTCACTCCCCCAGTGTTCCAGGCCGTTATTCACGAAGCGTTTCAGCATGTCAAATCTCTCCGAGGATGATATGTCCCAGTGCCTTCTCTCTTTCAGCTCCGTAAATATCCAAGGTTTGATCAAAGCACCTCTAAAAGAATACAAACTTTTAAATCATTATATTCCCTGATTGAAAAGTTGGAGGGTATTTAGTAATTAAATGTACGTCTGTCTGTATGTCCATCCATCCAGTTGTTACGCTTTGGGGTAAGGCCATTGTTCACCTCCTATTTAACATTTTGATCTGACACATATTTTGGCTCTCCAAAAGCAAAACATAGACTTTGCCATTATAATCATATGGAAGGCAGGGGGGTATCATTTAATTAGTAAGCTCATTGCTCAAAGTATCTCTAGATTACATTTATTTCTTAATCTTCTGGAGATTTGCAGAGCTTAAAATTTTTAAGTATATACCAGTAGTAAATACTATAAGCATGATTATGGGACATAAATTTATGTTCCTACCTGGCCACCATACATCCCGAGACCCTTGTGTTTTGGAGATGAAGATCCAGATCCTCATATGACAGAATATCCCCGTTACCTAAAGAAGACAAACCATGTGGAAACATTGAAAAAGCACCAAAAGATACCAAGCCAAGTCACATACTCTGATACTTTTCTATGCCACATTCAAATGTAATAAGAATTAAATTTAAATAGTGTTCACATGGAAAATTTAAATTAACAGTAGTTTACTGGGCATTAAATTATTTCACATTACTTCTGTGTGAATGCCGTCAAGTCACATACTCTGATACTTTTCTATCCCATGTTCAAATGTAATAAGAATTAAATTTAAATAGTGTTCACATGGAAAATTTACAATAACAGTAGTTTACTGGGCATTAAATTAATTCACATTACTTCTGTGTGAATGCCATGGGAGGCTGATTCAAATTAAATTCTGACGCATTCGTTATGACAAAATTATAGCCCACATGAATTTGGGCTTTTCTTTTGATCTTCATTAGCAGAATTTTTTTCCTTACAGATACACTCTTATGTAAGACTTTCATTACCCATTGTAGCTCCACCCAACCCCTGGGGTTCATGATTTGAACAAATCTTAATCTAACTGCACTATTTTACATAAATGTGACTGATCATCAGCTTTGCTGTTCTTGGCCATCATCTCAGGTAAGCTTAACACAATGGCAAGGCCTTGAGTTGCTTTAATTAGTACTGAGAAAGTTTGGAGTTGAAATACTTACCGAACACAGGCATTGGTTTACCCGCCTCTGCACATTGGTCAATGTAGTCCCAGTCTGCTAGCCGAGTGTACCTCTGTTCTCGTGATCTACCATGTAACTGTCAAATTTAATAGAAGTTATTAAAGGACTTTCAACATTAAAAGTTCCTCATTGACACATACAACTCCCACTATTAAATTACAAATAATTTTACAATGTTTTAAACACATTTTAACACGTTTTAAACAGACCATATGATTCAAGCAATGATAATACATGTTTGGTACATGTACAGTGCATGTAATACTGTTGAATAAAATGAAATGACAAAACTTAAACATTTTTTTCACCTTTACTTTCAAGCTTGTGAAAAATCCATTACCCAACTATCAGTCTGAGGGTGAATTGTAGTATATAATATGTAAATCAATTTTTATGCAACAATAATGCACAGAATTTACATAAAATATTTAAGAGTATGTTTTACATGACAATTCCAAGACCTCCACAATAATAAGAGTTTTCCTCTTGTAATCATTTAACTAGTCATTCTTGGGATGGAATGAAAACAAAATATGACAAGTACTCACTGTTACCATGGAGACCCCCCAATCTCTCAGTTTGGGTATGACCGTGTGAGCAATGTTCTTGTTGTCAAATATTCCCGTCCTCATTTTAACAGTCAGCGGAACGTCCAGTACGGATCTCATACCCGCGATAATCTGCTCAAACTTGTTAAGTCGACCAATCAACGCACACCCTTCCCCCTAAAAAAATCAAATTAACGATTAGTATGCACATGTTTACTCTATATAATATTAACAAATCCTAAGAATTTGTTTGAGGTTTGACTGTATTTGAATACTATGATTAATACTACAACAAAACTCGGTTATAACAAAGTCACTGGGACCAATAAAATTACTTCGTTATATCCGTAATTCACTATATCATTAATTCTATATAGCTGGGATCCAAGATGACTTCGCTATATCCGTAAATTCACAATATCCGTGTTCGTACTAAACGAGTTTTGCTGTACATGTATATGTTATCCAGGTTCAATCAAGGGTATTTCCTTAGTAAACCAAAGGTTAACCGGGGGTATCTCAAACTAGCGAATAGATTTATTACGTACTACAAGGCATTGTGACGTCACATTACTTGCTTTTATGATAGATGTGATAGAGAAACTATGCATTGTGATGTCACATTATTTACCCATTGTCCTGAGTTGGGTGTATAGAAATTTACATCCAGTTTGCTATGAACCAATCAGATCTCATGTTACAAGTTACATAGGAAATAAAAGTGTGTACCTTCTTGTACACCAGATCTATTGGACAGCCGCAGTTAAGATCCAGAAAATCTAGTTCTACATTCTCGTTGATCAGCTGTGAACACTTTGTCAGTGTGTCTGCAAAACCACCACAAATCTGAAATGAAAGAAAAACAGGCTCAATCTTTATATTAGTGTTTCTATCAACTTGAGCTTTCAGCTAAAAACTTGAAAATAAACTAAAACTCTGGTATGAGAGTGCATTATACAGTCCATTATCTATTTCCGTGGCATTTTCAAGACAAAGAAATAGTCTGTCTTACATGCATGTAATTAATAAAACTTCATTTGTAAATTTCTCTTACCTGTACCCCAAACAAATCCTCACTTTCGTGCCTCTTTAGTAACGCCCACTCGGAGGCCTGACCTTGAAGAAGGTTCAAGGACATTGCCATCTCACTACAGGTGATGTCAGCTCCATAGGCTTTACAGATCCTCCGAAACGGGAGGTTACCCACCTAAACAGGGTCAGTAGTAGAGAGTAATTAATACTGTATATAAAACAAAATTTACTGAATACTGTATTATCATCTTAAATTGGAATTTATCATGGCTTAAAACTTAAGTTCTAAACAATTTAAAATTACGGTAACCATGGTCTAGTCCACTAATATTTACTGTGTTCTAGACTACCTAATTTAAAGTGGTCTAGATGACTTAAGTTTGTAGTGGTATAGATAACTTACTGTGGTTAGTGGAGCCAGGTAGTTTTTTGAGCTAAAATCTATCTGAAATATCAAACAAACAGATAAGTACAGACAAAAAAAAAATTTGAAAAAAAATTGATAATCAAGAAAATTTTAAAAACTTACATTGTATGTATACATAACTAAGACAAATTACATGTAAGTTTAACAATCTTTAAATTCTTCTGTTTTGTAAATCATATTGCATGAAAAAAAGGTCATTTATGACCTAAAGTACCTTTCTGGTTTCTTGAGGTCGAAGTTTGATCACACCCTCTGATTCATCTCTGATCTCTGGAAATAATTACAGAATCTCACATTCAAAACTATTACCATTCAATTATATAGCCATTTTACATTTTACATAAAATACATTCAACATAGAAAAACAATGCCCAGCTTTTGAAAATACATGTATCTAAGAGTAAATTCTCATTAGTTAAACTAATAAAACTGTAAAGTTGGGGGTAATTTTATCCCATTAATAGGTTTTAAATCTTACATGCAACCCTGTGAACATTGTGTTTGCTTTGATAGCAATAAACAACATGCACAAGATTGTTTTTTTCTTATTTATGGTTTAAAATTCTGTATGTGTTATCCTGTTCCCCATATTTTTCTTTATTGACAAAATTTGTACAACATGTAAAGCTAAAAACACCTGAAACAGACACATGTTTTTGATGCTTGCTCATGAGTCAACACAGACCTGTAGTAGTACTAGATGTCTCCTCAGGAATCTTTGACTCCTTGCTCTCCTGCTTGACAGCACAAAGTTTAGAGAAGGTGTCGTGTTTCTCCTGGGCCCTTTTCTGCACCTGTTTGACAATTTCATTTGCCTTCTCAAAATTATATCTCTTCTTCCACAGGGTGACCTGGAGATCTTTGGACAGGGTGTTCAGGACAGTTTTCACCTTTATAATAAAATATACTGTAAGTGTACATAAAATAGCATTTTCAAAATTTAGCGCAATCATCGCTGGGTATGGAGTTGTTGTAGTGTTCATGAATTAGCGCTACACACTAATGTGCTATGTTAATATTCATAAATTATTTCTTAGCGAAATTCATGAATTAGCACATCCTTGTCCTTGCCAAAGCTGCTAAATATGAAGACCGCTTTTTTAAGTACACGTACAGTAACTTGTGTTGTTCAAGATTGAATAATGTATCTGACATATAAGTACATTTATATGATCTGAATAAATTTAATAACTAGTGAAAATTGAAAGTATTTTCTGGAAAAAAATAATTGTACCTTATCTCTGCCCAAAACTTTTATTCCTGAGAAATTTAAAGTTGAAAAACAATGTTGAAGAACAAAATGGTTTATTGGAGAAATGTATCTATAGGGGAATAATATCGAGAGGAAATTTTCCCAGTTGTAAAATTTTATTCTAAGCTCATAGATGCCCAAAAAACAGAGACACTTATTCCTTAGACAATGTAACAGAATACATTAGGATCAACATGATCAATAAATAAAGATACATATCACATACCTTAGATTTCTCCTTGTACAATTCTTCATTAACTATATTCTTGTAATCCTCAGATATGTGCTTGCTACCATATCGACACGCTATCCCATATGGACATTTCCCGTACGTCTCAAACATATAACAATCAGGGCCAATGTCTTTGGGTTTCGACTCCATGAAGGTTTTTATATCATGGGAAAACTTGCATTTCTCTCCAAAGCTACACTCTTTTTCCTTAGATATGGTGGGGCATAACTTGTCCTTCGGTTTTATGTGGGTCACTGGACGTTGTTTATTGCGGCCCTTTACCTTCATTTTTTTCTTTGGTTGTCCCTCGTTTTCATCCTGTTTACCTATAGTTAACACAAACTCACACATGAAAGTCAGTAGTAGATCAATGTCTTAAAGTTCACATATTTATAAACATCACTTCAAGTAGTTCAAGATCCAATAGCGTAATTAAGTACACAGTCAGATCTTGTCACATTCATTGATGGGGCTGAGAAAAAATTATCCTAGGATTCAAGATATAGAATTAGAAGTAAAAGGAAAGAAAAAAGTGGTTGGCACTCAAAATCACTTCTAAAAATCTATGGTATTTGATTTTAATTTCACACAGGTTGTCCTCTTTGACTCTGATTACCTACACAATATTTTTTTCATCATGAAATTCAGTTGATTTCCAATTCTCTCAAGTTTATATTATTGTAACAAGTCAAGCGGACCCTTGTCACAAAATAAAAACTCCATTGTCAGGCATAACAAGTTTTTATTGAGGATGGCAACAATCAAACAACAACAACAAAGGATGAGATGCTGACCATTCAGACAATCAATATTGACCCGGAAAAAAAGGGGGGGTGAACTTGTCTTGACTATACTTTATACAGTTTATTTATTTATACTAGTATCTGCAAACAACCTTAGCTCTCGGACTCGAAGTAAAATAACTTTGCGTTTACTTGCGTTAAAATAATTATGAATTTATTTTTTTTTTATTACATGCGTCAATCCGGACAGTCCCTAACTATCTATATTCTAAATCTGTACTAAATATCTCCAGCAATCAACTTTATTACTGCCTAACTTACAAAGACACTATGCGTAAATTATCCCGAACATATGAATATTCCTAAAATGACTTTATTTTCAGCTTAAGCAAATCCGAACAAATACTGCCAAATCCGGACAACCCATTCCGGACAAGAATAACCTATGTGAACTTAACTGTATGAACTATTCTGGACATCCGAACAAACGATCCGGACAACTATCAAAATATAATTCTGTCATAAACTATAACCAATTAACTTCTGAACTTGGAAACAACTAATAGAAATGTTCCGGTCATAAGTCCTAATTAATAACTCGAACTGTAAACAAACAAATTACTGGTCTACATGACTGGAATAATTCCTCTACTTATAATACTGTCCTGTCCGGACGTGCGAGTCTTTATAAA